GTTTGGCAGGCGGTGACCGCCGGCAGTGTCTGTGGTGCCTTTTCACAGGGGGTGCGCTGTCATGCTCATGGGGTGCACGTGCACTCATTTGCACCCCCTACGTGTTCCCCGTGCACCATAACTCACTGCCTATTAACTGCCTGTGTAGAAAAACCTTTAGAAAAAAAATCACAGTGAAATGCTTTCCTAAATAAGCTCGTCAGGATCTGGAAAATATTTCTGAATGACGATTAATGAAGGATTGCTGGGTTTTGGTTTCCTGAATCTGATTTCAGATTCTGAAAATCATGTTCTTTTTCATTTTAAAATTTCCTATATGAACAGGATGCATGTCAGTGAGCACTGTGACTCTGAGAGGATGTCATCTCTGGTCAGAGAGTATGTGCCTAATGCCACATTCTCAGGACAGAGTGAAAATGAACTAAGGTATATTCTGCCAATGGAAAATGTGGATAAATTTCCAGGTAATTATATATTTAAATGCTCAACAATCAGTCGTACAAAAATATTAATTTAGTGAATAAAAAAGAAATATAAAGAGAAATTCTACAAGATTCTTGAATCCCCTCAAAAGTTTTACCTAGGGATATGAGAGTATTGTTTCAGAATTTTTTCCAAACTTTTAGTCTATACATTTAAATTCAAAACATGTACTTTTCTTCCATTCATGAAAAAAGTGCATAATTAAACCAGACACAAATAGTTAACATGACTTTTTCTTAAGGGTTAGTGTTGAGGAAATCACAGCAGGGTCCAAGCTTTGATCCTATTTGGGTGTTGTTTAAGGCTTAATTTTTCTTTCAGTTTATGAAAGTACTGATACTTCATGATGCTTTAACTTCTTTGTTCTTCCAGTAAGTGAAGTAGCACTGTAAAGGTAACCTACACCTACCACACTGACATGTATAGATGCAGCCAAAGACAGAACCTGAAAAATGCCCACAGGAGTAACATTTCAAAATAATGAAAAAAATAAAACTGTTCAGATCAGGTTTGGTTTGACTATGTGTTTTACCATAGAGAAAGTACTGTCAAAGAATGAATCCCACACATATACGCATGCATGTAGGGACATTTCTAATTCTGACTTCTTGATTATTTATATTTTTGGGAGATAGGAGCTGTTAATATTGTGTTGTCACTGTTTTGTGCTTGAAAAAACTCCTTACGCTTGGTGCAAAGGAGCAGTCCTAATCTCAGAAGATGAAACAGGGGCATTTTTTTCCTATGGAAATTTTCAACTAAGAATGTGCTTTTCTCTTAATTTTCCATGAAAATGTTTAACTTCTGCTGGAAAAAAATCAAAATCCCAAATCTAAAATTTTAGTTTGGAAATTCTGAATTGAGGTCTCCCCAAGCTGTAGTTCATGTCCAGCTGTAGCTCATGTAGCCTTGCCTTCGTATTTTGCTCTCTAAGATGGACTACGTTGTTGGGCTACAGCTCCCCTAGTGCTCCTCTCTTGTCAATAACTAACTGTTAGAGTCCCATGCACCTATGGGAGGTAGAATAATGATGCCAGTTGGAAAGTCAACTCTCTTTGGTTGATCAAAAGAAGTATCTGGTAATTTGTTACTATTCTCTTGAGCCTTTTCATTTCAGTGGAATATGAACTTCTTACAAAAGTGAAGAATAACTTAGAAAGACCTGAAAATGTTGGTCCATTCACTGTTGAAATGGTTACCCTAAAAGTAAGAGAGAGGGTCAAATTCTGCTTCCAGTACACCAGTATGTATAAGGAATTAGCTGGATCTAGGCTCCTGTATTTCAGAGCAGAATTTGGCCCAGAGATCTATACGTTTCCTTATGCCTTCAAGGGTACATATGTTTTTTCTATTACGCAGATCTGTTCTGTAGCTTAGACAGCCATTCTGATGAAGGAATTGTTAATTATGGAGTTACCATGACAACCCTGGAAGATGTCTTCATGAAACTGGAAGGTGAAGATCAAGAAGGTAAAATACCAGGCCCAATCATGCAATTGTCAGCCAGGCAAAATTAGGATGATTTAAATATTAATCTTGCATGGTTTTTTCAGCTAACTACAAATCCTTACCTGTAGTGATCATATTCAGACCGAGAACTAACTATTTAACATTTCTTTGAACAGTTACAATAGAACTGCATTCATGAAAATGGTTAAAATAAAGAATTAAAACCCAAGTATAATGAATATAGAAAGAGGAATGGTTTTAGCCCTGATCTATCATTAAATATCAAGTGGGTGATGAGGCAAACTGAGTATATGTGGGTATGCTTCTGCCAGGTGCCATTAGTGGCAAAAAAAGCCAGGTTCAGTGACCTGTGGGCTTTCTCTGAAAAAAACCATTATGACCACTAACTCAGATTCCCGCATGAAAACTAGAGAAACTAAATTACACCATCAGAGTGTTCTTGATAAGCAACACCTATCCAAGGCTTGAAAAGAAACAATGCAAAATTCAAGAAGAGAAAGTGCAAAATACTGTGCTTAGGAGGGAGCTATGAGATGCACAAATGCAAATTGGGGAACAACTGTATTTTAACCAGAATGTCCAAAGCATCACACAAGTGAGGTGCCAATGAGGCCTGCCTTTTGCAGTCATTTCCCTTTGCTCACTCTAGTACCAGGCAGGTCTGGGTCAATTCTTCAACAACTATCAACTGGAGGTGAGTGCCCTTCTCTGTAGGGCTTCTGCTTAATGCTTAACATTCAGGTATCACCCAGCTATCTGTAAAGTATGTACATTGGAAAGCAAACCTCTGGAGGAGGAAAGCGGAAGAGATCAATGGACACAGAACTCGTAGGTGTGATGGATGTTCTGTATAGTATCTTAAGGGTTTAAAGAGTTTTATTGCTAGTAGAGCTCATCATAATTGATATCTCTTCCACTCTACTATCATATAAAACCATGTCAATGGTGAAACTGTGCCCTTTGAAAACTTCCTGTAGGAGATGGGCAGGCAGAAGAGGAAAGAGAGACTTTCTCTGCTGATGAAGTGGAAGAAGGTCTTCTGTCGTTCTCAGACATGGGAAAAGCAACTGTAAGCGGCACAACTCTCTGGAAGCAACAAGTCTGTGCCATAGCACGAATGCGCATCCTAAAGCTTAAGACGGCATATAAAACCTTGCGGAACCTGTAAGTGCCTTGGAGCTTCTGATTGGTTTAAGGGCACATTCAGAGAATACTTGTCCATGGAGTGGGACTTCCTTTTCTCATAGCTGTGTTCCAAGGATACAGACTACTAGGTTTTAGTTTTAAGGAACAAATTTGATCTGAGATACTCGCAACATAAAGAGCTGCACTAATTAGAGCTAGGAAAAATCCCAGTATTCTTCTGAAAAAAAAACGAAATATTTACTTTACTTGAGAAAGTTTCAAAATTAAAGAAACAACATTTCTGTTTTGTTTCATTTTTCAAAAAAAGACAAATTTTAAATGCATCACCTTTTCCCTTTTTTATTACTATTTGTTTCATATCCCAATGACTAGAAAGAACAAGTGATATTTAAATTTAATCCTTTTCCCAACTTTTTACAACTTGCCTACTATACACCACCAAAAATTCTCCAGTATTAGAAACAAACTTTTCCAATGTTAAAATTTTGAAAAAATTAAATGAGAAAAAAGAAAAAAACTCTCTATAGAAACTCATTCATTTGCATTCAATAGCAGAAAATGGGAAAAATAAGCATTCAAATTGTAACTCTTTTCATTTTAGGCAACTAAATTATTTTTTACGGTACATGTCCTACTATTTGAAATAGTCATAGAAAATGAGGGTTGGAAGAGATCTCAGGAGGTCACGTCTAATCCAACCCTTTGCTCAAAGCAGGACCACCCCAACTAGATCATCTAGCCAAGGTTTTGTTAACCTGGGTCTTAAAAACCTCCAAGGATAGAGATTTCACAACGTCTGGGTAACCCACTCCAGTGCTTCACTATCGTCCATGAGAAAATGTCTCCTAATATCTAACCTAAACTTCTCTTCCTGCAACTGGAGACTGTTGCTCTTTGTTTTGTCATGTGTCACCGCTGAAAACAGTCCAGCTCCATCCTCTTTGGGCCCCCCTTCAGATAGTTGAAGGCTGGTATTAAATCCCCCCTCAGTCTTTTCTGCATACTACATAAGCCCAGTTCCCTCCACATTTCCTCATAAGTCATGTGCCCCAGCCCCCAAATTATTTTTGTTGCCCTCTGCTGGACTCTCTCCAGTTTTTCCACATCCTTTCTGTAGTGGGGGGCCCAATACTGGACACAGGACTCCAGATGTGGCCTCTTTGGTGCCAAATAGAGGGGAATAATCACTTCCCTCAATCTAATGGCAACACTCCTACCAATGCAGCCCAGGATGCTATTAGCCCTCTTGGCAATAACAGCACAGTGTTGACTCATATTCAGCTTATTGTCCTCTATAACTCCCATGTCCTTTTCTGCAGAGGTGTGGCTCAGCCGGTTGGTCCCCAGTCTACTGGCGCATGAGATGTTTCTGTCCTAGGTGCAGGACTTTCCATTTGTCCTTACTGGACTTCATGAGATATCTTTTGGTCCAATCCTCCAATTTGTCTAAGTCAATCTGAATCTTAGGCCAACCTCCAGTGTATCTACTACTCTGCCCAACTTGGTGCCATCTGCAAACTTGCTGAGGGTGCACACCACCCCTTCTAGATCATTGATGAAGATATGGAATAAAACCAACCATAGGACCAACCCCTAGACCACTTCACTTGATACTGGCTGCCAGCTAGACATCAAGCCATTGATTATACAAGTCCTTTGAGCTCAATGATCCAGCCAGCTTTCTACCAACCTTACAGTCCAACATCCAACCTGTATGTCCTTAGCTTGCTTGTGAGAAGGTTGTGGGAGACTGTATCAAAAGCCTTGCTAAAGTCAAGGTATACCACATCCACTGCTCTCCCCACAGAGCCAGTCATCTCATCATAGAAGGCCACTAGGTTGGTCAGGCATGAGTTGCCCTTGGTGAATCCATGCTGACTTTTCTTCTTGTCCAAGTGTTTAGAAATGGATTCCTTGAGGACCTGCTTCATGATTTTTCTATGGACTGAGGTCTGTAATTCCTCAGATCCTCCTTCTTCCCTTTTTAAAGATGGGCACTATGTTTGCTCTTTTCCAATAATCTGGGACCTCTCCAAACTGCCACAAGCTTTCAGAAATAATGGCAAGCAACTCTGCAGTCACATCAGCCGGCTTCCCCAACACCTGCATGTGCATCCCATCCAGCACCAGGGACTTGTTATGCATCCAGCTTTTCTAAATGGTCCCTAACCTTTTCTTTCACCACTATCAGCTGTTCCCCTCCTCCCCAGTCTGTGCTGCCAGGTGCAGCAGTCTGGGAGCTGACCTTGCCTGTGAAGACAGAGATAAAAAAGGTATTGAGGACTTTGGCCTTTTCTGCATCCTCTGTCACAAAGTTGCCTGTTCTGTAAGGGACTTGCACTTTTCCTGATCTTCTTCTTCATGTTTATGTACTTGTAGAAGCCCTTCTTGTTACCTCTCACATCTGTTCCTAATTTCAACTCCAATTGCACTTTGACCTTCCTGACTTCATCCCTGCATGCCTAAGCAATACTCTTATACTCCTCCCTAGTTTCCTCTGTAGCTTCCTTTGTTGTGTTTTAGCTCATTGAAGAGTTTCCTGCTAAGCCAAGCTGGTCTTCTGCCATACTTGCTAGTCTCCCTTTGCATGAGGTTGGTCCATTCCTGTGCTCTTAGTAAGGTTTCTTTAAAGTACAACCAGCTCTCCAGGACTCCTTTGCCCCTCAGACTGGCATCCCAGGGGATCCTGCCCATCAGTTCCCACCATGAATTGAAGTCTGCTTTTCTGAAGGTCAGCATCCTTATTCTGCTGCTCTCCTTCCTTCCTTTCCTCAGGATCCTAAACGCAGTCATCTCATGGTCACTACTGTTCAAGATGCTATCCATGTCTACATTCCCCACCAATTCTTCCCTGTTTGTGAGAAGCCAGTCAAGAAGAGCATGGCCCCTAGTTGGCCTCTCCAATACTATTTATCAAACAAATGTTTCTAAAAAAAAATTTTAAATGAGGGGTGGTAGGGAGGTTAGCTAAACTATTTTATGGCATCTTATACATAGTGAATAAAATCTCAACTGGTTTAGTAATTGTTGCAGTTATGACTTCTTGGAAGTTTTTATTGGCTCTCCCCCAGACTCAAGGGGTTAGAGGTACTTTTTCCATCTGGTGCCTTCAGAAGAGGGAAAGAAAAGTGGGCTGTTGGAGTTGTTAGGTGCTTATTCAATCTCCCTGTTTCCCAGGGCAGGTGCGTGAGAACAGGTGCCTGCCCAGGGGTTGTTGAAGGAAGGGGTTTAGGATACTTGGGCCATGTGTTGAAGCCAGGGATGAGCAGTCACATAACCACTGCTCAGCTCTTCTTGTTTCCATGGTGGCTTGGAAAAGGCAGCCTGCTTCCAAGGTTGCCTGTGCAGTGTGTGCGGCTGCTGTTTCAGCAGTGATTTAGGACCAGCATTAGTTGAGCATCTCAGAGTGTGTTGCCACCATTTTCATCAGGAAAATGTCCTCTCAGGAACACACATAACAGACAGAAAATGGTGATTTACAGCAAAGTGTAAATTTAAGCCTAGACTAAATGGTATTTCACAGGTCAAAGAAAAGGTCTTGGAAATTTTCTTCCTTGCACATTTTAAAAACCCGTCTTGATAGTGGAGAAAGTAGTGGTTCTAAAAGTAAAGTCACAAGGAATATATTAATTGAAGGTGTGATGTTGCTACCCTACAATTCCCCTAACTCTCCATCTGTTGTTCAATATAGATTACTTCTCTATCTGACTTTTATGCTCCCTCTGATTTTGGAACTGATCTTCATAGAGGTGTGGCACGTAATAAATTCTTGGGAATTGACTTCTGGTCTGTATTTCCTTCCTGTTGGAAAGAAGTCTGACAAGGACTACATGAACCTCCTAGTCCTCAATGAAACAGGTGAGGGGAAAGCAAAACTACAAAGCTGATTGTTTTTCTATGCCATTGCTTTTTATCATTTCAAGTAAGTTCAACACAGGGTCAGATAAAATGGGAGCAATTCAATACAGGGGCTCAGAAGCTGGGGTAGAAGCTCAAAAGAAAAAGAAAAAAGAAAGAGCTGAGAAGATAGGAGCAAGGTGACCTGAAGAAGCTGATCTTTGATATGGGAATAAATGAAGTGTTAGTGCAAGAATCTGAATAGGGAAATAATTTTGCCAAACAGCTTGCAACAAACTTATCTCTAGTGATTACATTTGGTATTTACTAGGTGCAGGCATGGATGTGTTGAGACAGCCAATGACCAGGAGGGAGTGGTTGCCAATCCTGTATATTCATAATGTACATTCGTAATGATACTGCACGGGACTCTTCAGCCTGGAGAAGCACAGGCTCAGGGGTGACTTGGTGGCAGCCTATAAGTACATCAGAGGGGTGCATCAGGACCTGGGGGAATGTCTGTTCACCAGGGCACCCCAAGGGATAACAAGATCCAATGGTCACAAACTGCTGGAAGACCATTTTAGACTGGACATAAGGAAACACTTCTTGACCATCCGAGTCTCTAGAGTCTGGAATAGACTCCCCCAAGAAGTGGTGCAAACACCTACTCTGAATACCTTCAAGAAACACCTGGATGCTTATCTTGCTGGGGTCATCTGACCACAGCTGGCTTCCTGCCCTTGGGGCAGGAGGCTGGACCTGATGATCTTGCAAGGTCCCTTCTAGCCCCAACGTCTATGAACTCCCTAAATGAGAGTTCAGACTGTGGGGACTGAAAGAAACAGATTCTTGGGATGATGATAAGGGAGTGGAAATAGGATTTGTACATGGCCAGGATGTGTGGGCTAAAAGGAGTGAAAAACTTCCCACTTCATCTGTATCAGGGAGGATAACTATCTATTGCCATCAGGAGTAGGAGGAGAAGTGGAGATGGCTTAAAAGAGGAAAGTGGGTGTGCTGTTTTTATCACTATTAGATTAAGCTGATGAGAGAGTCTTGTGGAATTGGATGAAGTCATGTTTTGATCCTGTTTCATCATCACAGACCTGGATTCCATATAAAAAGATATCTGAACATGTTTGAGCTGGAGGCAGTTGCCTTCAGACAATGCAAAGTGAGATGAACAAAGGGCTGGAAACCTCTATGGACAGTGGGGGTTAAAGATAAGGACCTGCTGGGACAAATTCTGAAGAAATGTTCAGATAAATAGGAGAAAACTCAACACTGGATGGTACTGAAAAAGTCCACTGAAATCAAGAACCAAGAGATTATCAGGAGTTTGGTGCAGCAAGACAGTTAAATATGCAGACAACGAACGCAGGAGTGAGGCAATTAATGATGGCAATATTTAAGGATGGCAATTTATGCAAAAATGCAATGAATCATTAAATAAATGTTGCTTGGACAGTCTAGTATTTATTCTATGCTTTTTCTGGTCTTGTTTGGGAGGCAGTAATATCAGCAAAGCCCCCAAGGATGACTGTTGTAAAACAGCTTCAAACATGGTGATTTGTCTGTTTTTACTTTCCTACCAGGCTCCAGCATTGAGAACTTTGTCCGTGCTATAGAGAAACAGAAAATAATGTTGGATGTAACTACTGGAAAAAATATCACAGAGGAGTTAATACACAATGGGGCTATAAAAGTATCTCGTGAGGACCAGGTAGAGTGCAAGCCATTTCAGCTGCCCATTAACAACAACTTATATTTTGCAACTGGCATAAGACACCTACTGAATCCTCTTAACTTCTGCATGAAAACACTGTTTAAAATAAGTAGTGTGGGTCTGCTGCTCCTGAAATGTTGAATACTAGCTTGCATTTGCAAGCTGTATTTGGGGATAAAGATACACACTGTATGTCTACAAGATGGTCCAAGCAAAACATTTTTGCTGAAGACATTGCCTACCTCTCAGCCAAGCAGGGTCTCAAGGTTGGACTTTGTGCAACACAGATCCAAAGTGATCAAGACACTGGGATTATTTAAATTAGGCAAGGCTGAACTAAATTCAGTCATGCATACTGACACCTACCTCATTGCTTGATTTTTAGCAGCTCAAACTACATTCTAGGCTCCTGACAGGTTCTAGATCACCTTCCTATTCATCTTGTTCTAGGACCTAGAACATGAACTATAACTTATCGTTTCCTGGTACTTGCTGAGCTATGAAGCACACTTGAGTTTGTCATCCTGTGTTTTTTTTTTTTTAAGAGCTACAGGTTTACAATAATGTGTCACCTGGAGGTAACCAACTGCTTCCCCATGCTTGTGAATATCATTAGCAATGCGCTGCTGGGAACCTTCAATTCCACTGAGCATATCCGAATCTGGAATCATCCTTTTTCTCATGTAAGTGTCTTAACTTCCCTGTCAAAAATGCTGGTTTAAAGAGAGTGTCTAACTGCTCAAATTGTAATCAGTTTATTAATAAAAAGGAGCTAGGGGGTTTATTTTTTTTATAAGTATTTATCAGCCAATTTCATCAGTGGTATTCATGATACTAGTGCTGTTAGTGGGCTTCACGCAACTAGCACAATTGTCTTCAAGGAGCACACTGGGGGCCCCCACACACACTCCTGGCTCAGTGATCAGCCATGGGGGACCGTAGGTGCCCTCCAGACCCGGGTAGCAGCAGTCACTGAGCCAGGGGGGAGGTGTGGGGGTCCCCCCTGAGTGCTCCCCGGTGGACCTGGAAGTGGACTAGAAGTACTTCTGGTCCACTTCTGGGTTCACTGCCAAGCGCGCTGGAGAGTACCCCACGCTTCTGTGAGACGCTCCATGCCCCCCCACATCGCAGCACTCACGAGCCCCTGCTACCTAGAGGTATGTAGAAAAAACATTTAAAGCTGGGTCTATTTCCGAATTGCCGAATCTTTCTGAATCTCTCCAAATTGATTCGGAGGGTTCTGATTCGATTCGGAGAGATTAAAAGGTCCTCTGATTCAATCCAGATACGGCGATTCGGTCACTGAATCGAGCCGAATCTACCCCAAATCGAATCAGGGACTGAAGCTTCGCACAGCCCTAATAACTATGCATTCAGTTGTGATATCCAGTTGGATTTAGGCTGTTACAGTGCTGGTTTTCTTCAAATATCTTCTTTTTATTCCCCTGCAGAAACATGGAGGAATGTTCTGGAATTATTTTTTCCTGAACTACTTTTTCTTTTGGTTGGTTTTATTTCCTGCTTTCCCACCTTACTTTGCGATGAACCACGTAGAGGATTACAAGGTAAAAATCCTTGATTGTAGCAGAATTTCTGCAGGAAGAAGGAAATACAGTTGTGTAGGCACTAAACGGCTCTTAGTTGCAACACAGGCCTCCACACGAAGCATGCTGTTCATACAAGAGCCTAAACAACTCTGAGAAGCCCGAGAGAAATTTAAATCCTAAAAAACTGAACACAAACTCTTGTGAGAGAGAGTGAGAGATACGTGCATGTGCAGTGTAGAAAAGAGAAACTCAAGGTAGACTCAGAGAGAGAAAAGGCATGTTATAAGCACACCTAGAAGGTATATCCACAGTAGAGAAAGAAGGACAATGTTTATAGACATCCAAGGGTGACGTTCCATGTTATGCTGAGACCATACTAAGGGCACAAGTATCTGCATGTTAAAACTCTTAACTCATGCAAAGTGTCTTCTGACCATCTGAGCAGGGAAGTGGAACGAGGGAACGTATGTATCGACAGAATGAAAGACCAGAAGGAGGCGATAGCCAGAGAGTGAGAAGGATGAAAAATATTTGGGGGGCAGCAGTAACAGAATAGGAGACTCACTGGTGACATTACTTCCTTGAGCTATTACCATACATCCTATCAGCAATTGGAAACTGTTATCCTTGCTAAAAAAACAATACTAACATCTCTGTTTTCCATGTGTGTTCCTAGAGGAAAGCTCATTCTCAGCTGCGTGTCTCTGGGCTCATCCCATCAGCTTACTGGTGTGGGCAGGCACTGGTGGACATTCCTCTGGCCTGGATCCTTCTTATCCCCATGTATGGGATACTACTTTCACTGAGTTCTCAAACTCAGCGGTATCCTGGTACCCTGCTCGTTTTGGTAAATCTTTGGATGATCACTTATAAAGAAATATCTCCTGAAAAAATGAGAAGGGAAACCTCAGAAAATACAGAACATATTTCATCCTGAAAACCAAAGAGAGAGAGCAATTGCCTCAGAATTGCTTGAAACCCTAAATCCTTGCATATATTCAAACGTCCACTCTCATTCGAGCTGTGAAATGGGACCAAGTTTTGCTGGGTATTCACATGAAAGTTTATAATTTTGATAGCATTTGAATTCAAGACATAACAAAACGTTGCCATTTCTTCCTGCACTTTTCTTTCAGAATACAGAAACAATCTCCCTGGCTGCATGCAGGAAAGAGGCAGGATTTGCTCTAGGTGCAAAAACCAATTTTTCACAATGAAATTATAGGATCCTGGAAAAATGTGTTCTGTATTTTACCCTCAGTCCCTATCCCTGTCCCAAATAAAGCCTTAAATATTCTAGATGAGAATGATGCTTTTCAGTAGTGTAACTACAGGTGGACCGGGGGGGGGCAAGGCATGTCTGCTGTTCTGCATCCTCTTTTTCATCCCTCTGGGGTCAGATTGAAAACACGCTGTTTACTTGGTAAACTGACTTTACTACAAAGTAAAAGTGGAATGGGCACATGATGCACAGTCCTACTGTGTAGTAGTACATCACTAAAATCCAAGGTAAAATTAATCCTTGGAAATTTACCCAGGGCAAACCAGCTTCCAATGATCTGGTGGCCATTGTGATAGATCTCCTGTGGCTGGATGGATGGCTTGGGAGAGATAATTGTTTGTCTGCTCTTTATTACAGAGCAAAGCCCTGGATAAGCTACCTATAGTAATCATGTCTGTGTATCCCTAGTAATGAAACGGAGATAATAAATCTTGCCCTTTACAAAATATTTTACGCTTATCATGTTCTTTTTTTAATCCCTTGACTCAAATTATTCCTATTCATAATTCAGTCTAGACTAGGTTGCTGCAATTGTAGCTTTCTGATTGTCCGCACCAGTTCACTTATCCCTAATGAAAACCTTTCTCTTTACAGTTTATAGGACTTTTTGGATATGGAGCTTCTCTCGTCCTGTTCCTTTATTTAATTGCCTTCATATTTCGCAAGGGGTGCAGCAGCCATATTTTGTCCTTTACTCTCGTAATGGTAAGCAAAGGGCGCTCATGCTCTAAAATCTGTGAAGCAGTACCTCGGGGGAACCCCCTGTGCAGCTCCAGGACATTGACAGTCATTTCACGACAGAAATGATTCTATTTTGCACCTTATTTCAATCTCAGTCCTCTCCAGTCATTTTTGTTTTAACAAGTTGGTTACAATTTGGTTTGTTTGGGGGGGGCGTTAATGGAACTCCAAAGTATTTTGCTAGTCTCATAGAAAATCTGTATTGTGCCTAAACTGTGTAACCTGGAGCTTAACAGCAGCAAAACCCTCACAAGAATATAGACTTTTCAGTGGCCTGAACATATCTCAGTTTGTATTTGTATGTGCGTGTGTGTACATAAAATGTGTGTGTGTATGTATGTTATGTCCATTTTTAAATATGTATATGCATATATATAAAAGCTGTGTGTGTCTCTGTGTGTATACATTTTTGACAGTACTGTTTTGGATATATACATATACACAAGCGTGTGTGTGTGTGTGTGTGTGTGTGTGTGTGTGTGTGTAACAAGGTTGTCAAAAATGTTCCAGCTAATTGCATATTTTGTCTGTTTTTCATTAATTTTTTGTAAAAAACCAAGACCCAAAATATTTCAATTCTGCAAAGCCAGTGTAGTGGTTCATGCTCCATTTTAAGATCCATGCTCAATTGTCAGACTTCATCTCCTATACCATTGCCAAATCTCCCCTGGCCAAAAGTCGTATTCTGGTACATGAGAGAAAAGTGGTCCAATCATGTAGTAAATCCAAATATATATAAGCCAAAAACCAGGAGGTGCACAAAATAGAAGGTTTTTTGTGGTACTTATCCTCCAGAGTATGTCAGTATCTATACTGTTGTCTATGATTTTGTTTCAATCTTCCAACCTATAAATACAACTTGGAAACTGGCTAATGTGGTCCCAAGTTTCAAGAAGGGGAGGAAGGAGGACCCAAGTAACTATAGGCCTCTAAGCCTCACCTCAGTGCTCGGGAAGCTCTTGGAGAGAATCATCAAGGAGCGCATCTATGGGGGGCCTGCAGGGGAGATCATGCTCAGGACAATCAGCATGGGTTTATCAAAGCCAGGTCGTGCCAGACCAACCCGATTGCCTTTTATGACCAAGTAACTAAATCCTTGGATGATGGTGTCGCTGTGGACATAGTCTTTCTAGAATTTAAGAAGGCCTTTAACACTGTCTCTCACCCCATCCTCATCAATAAATTAAGTGACTGTGGCATTGATGCCTGCACAGTTGGATGGGTAAAAAATTGGCTGATGGGGCGCACCCAGAGTAGCGGTGGACGGGTTGTACTCAACCTGGCGAGATGTGAGCAGTGGGGTCCCCCAGGGCTCAGTCCTCGGGCCCGCACTGTTTAACATCTTCATCAGCGACTTGGTTGGAAAGCATGCTGTCCAAGTTTGCTGATGACACTAAGATGTGGGGCGAGGTGGACACACTTGAAGGGAGAAAGAGGCTGCAACTAGATTTAGACAGACTACAAAAGTGGGCAGACGAGAACAGGATGGGGTTCAATGTAGACAAATGCAGGGTGCTGCACCTTGGGAGAAGGAATCCACAGCACACATACAGGCTGGGGAGTTCCCTTCTTGAAAGCACAGAGGTGGAAAGGGATCTGTCAGGCCACAGTTGGAGTACTGCGTCCAGTACTGGGCGCCGCACTTCAAAAGGGATGTGGCCAGCCTGGAGAGGGTTCAGAGGAGGGCCACCCACTTGGTGAGAGGGCAGCAGGACAGGCCCTACGAGGAGAGACTGAGGGACCTGAACCTGTTCAGCCTCAGCAAGAGGAGGCTGAGGGGGGACTTGGTGGCTGCCTACAAGCTCATCAGGGGGGATCAACAGCAAAAAGGCAGATCCCTTTTCTCCCCAGCACCACCTGGGGTGACGAGGAACAATGGTCATAAGCTGATGGAGAATAGGTTTAGGTTGGAGATCAGAAGGCAATATTTTGCAGTTAGGTTGGCCAAAATCTGGAACCAACTTCCCAGGGAAGTGGTCCTCACCCCTACCTTGGGCAAATTCAAGAGGAGGTTGGACGATCACCTGTCTGGGGTCTTGTGAACCAGCATTCATTCCTGTCTGTGGCAGGGGGTCAGGCTAGATGATCTGTTCAGGTCCCTCCTGACCCGAGCTACTATGAAACTAAGTTTGAGGCAATAAAATCTAGTAGCTGTAAAATCCAGAGGGACGTCGGAATCAGAAACAATGCCCCAGATGCCTCCCAACACTATATTTTGTATATATGTTTGCATGGGCCCTCTACTGAATCAAGTAGTTTGCACTCATACCCCAAGTGGTAGATGTATCCAATTCTTAGTAACAATGAGCGAAGGGAACTTTTTCACTCATACAAATTATTTTCTTTTTTCATTTTAGGTAACATTTGCTGTCTACCTCTTTGGTTTATTCATGTTTCATACTGAAGATAGAATTGTTCATTACGTTCTGTCCATTTTCCTTCCTATATATCCATTATTTGGCCTTTGCATCACAACTTTATATGTAAGTTATTGCGGTAGATCACAAGGAGACTAGCTATGTACCTAGCTAAGTTTCTTTGGAAAAACAAAATGCATAGTTTCTCAGTAGGAAATGTTAACACTAACTGGACACACTGACAAGGTCCTCTCTGTTTCTGTTACCCATGGGATTTTCATAGTTCTGTACAGCGATTAAAGAGCACAACTCCCTGCAGAAGCGTCTGCTCTTCTTCCCAAAAATGGGGAGCAAATCCCAAAACCCAACGGCAGAGTAGATGGAAAGAAAATGTTATCCACTGCTGGGACTACGGAGCAACTAGAGGGGACAGATGCTTGCCCCTTGCAGCGCTATTGCTCCTAAAGAGATCTTGGTTTTATTCAGGAATATAACGGTTTCTAGAATATTAGGAATCCCAAATTCAAATCCCCACAGTTACTCTTTCCTACTGTGAGCACTTTGAGTAAAACAGAAATACTCGTTTTGATAATATTTATCAGTTTGTTTATTACTCTCCCAACATTTGATAGTATTATATCAAACGTGTATTTTTGCTCCTACAGGATGTTGCAGACTTTCCTGAACCCTTTTTTAAAACCAGCTGGCCGGAAATACTGATATCTGTGTTTGGAGTAAGAAAAAAAATTTCAACGTTACTTTTTAATTTTTATTATTTTGTATAGGCCATGTATCCTAATGTACTTTATATACCCTGTATTGCATTCACTGCAATCCATAAGCTAGAAAAATGCACATAATTTGACAGAATCTAACATACCAACTCTTAGATTTTTCAGTATGGCTTAAAGTTGGACTTAGTCCATGAATCCAGGGTCTCATCTGTCACCTGTGCAAATAATATTAGATTATGTAAGTCTTCAATAGGAAGAAAATGGGACTGCAATATAAAACTAATTCTGTGAAGTGGAGATCTTAGATTGGATTTTAGTTGGATTGAGTTAGAGATAGCTGGCCCAACTACCCAAAACTATTTCTTTGAAACTGGAGAGAGAGAATAAAAGTCACAGATCAGAGTCCCACTGAGTTTATGAATTAAATGTGATTTCTACCTTTAGTATTATAATTTTTTTTGTATTGCTCTTCATAAAGTGTTGGCTATTTCTTTTTTCAGCCTTACATCCAGTGTGTGGCTTTCGTTTTTCTTCTTCGATATTTGGAAATGAAATATGGAAGAGCTGTTTTGAGAAAGGATCCGATTTTTAGGTTTGTGCCAACACATACCCTCAGGGGGCACGCACACACATGTGAGCTCATATACCATACAGCCTTTTCTCCAAAACAAAATGTTCACAAAAATTGCTAATAATTTTCAATAAATAGTGTTTGTTGTTCTTTTAAAAAGAATATTCACTATCTGTAAGGTTATAAAAATGTAACAGACTCAATAACAAAAGCTTTGACAGTGATTTATCTTTTTGAGGTTTTAAATGAAAGAACCCTGAAATATTTGAGAAAAAACACAGTCAAAACAACAAAAAGTTATTGTTTGAACATTTTATGATTTCAACATTTTTCACTAAAATAGGTTTTATTTTTTTCAACCAGTTTTCATAGATTCATAGAAGTAGGGCTGGAAGGGACCTTGTAGATCTTCTAGTCCAACCCTCTGCCTGGGCAGGAGAGAGAGAAACTGGGCTCAAATGACCCCAGCCAGGTAAACGTCGAGTGTCTTCTTAAAGACCCCCATGGTAGGAGCCAGCACCACTTCCCTTGGAAGTTGGTTCCAGATCCTAGCCGCCCTGACAGTGATGTAGCGCCTCCTGGTGTCTAGTCTAAACCTACTCTCTAGCAACTTATAGCCATTATTCCTTGTTACTCCGGGAGGCGCTCGGGGGAATAAGGTCTCTCCCAAACCCCACTTGTCCCTCCCTAGTAAGTTTATAGACAGCCACCAGATCCCCCCTCAACCTTCTCTTGCGAAGGCTGAACAGGTTCAGGTCCCATAGCCTCTCCTCGTAGGGTCTGCCCTGCTGCCCTCTCACCAAGCGGGTGGCCCTCCTCTGAACCCTCTCCATGCTGTCCACATCCCTCCTGAAGTGCGGCGCCCAGAACTGGACACAGTACTTCAACTGCAGCCTGACCAGTGTCGCATAGAGGGGGAGGATCACCTCCTTGGCCCTGCTTGTGATGCATCTGTGGATGCACGACAAGGTACGATTAGCCTTACTGACCGTGTCCTTGCATTGTCGGCCCATGTTCATCTTGGAGTCAATAATGACTCCAACATCACTTTCTGCCACCGTGCTTTCGAGAAGGGAGTTCCCCAGCCTATAGGTCTGCTGCTGGTTCTTACTGCCCAAGTGCAGCACCCAGCGCTTGTCAGTATTGAATCAAATCCTATTCTCATTTGCCCATCCCTGTAACCTGTCTAGGTCCCACTGTAATCTGCCCTTCCTTTCTAGCGTGCCTTCTAGTTCTAGATAATAACCTACTGTCATTACCATTTCCAATGTGAACTCAACAGAGCATGCTCTATTAATGCAAACCTGCTAGTAATCTGTTCTTGAATTTCATCGTGTCCTACGTGATATTTTGCCTCCTGCTTTCTTGTTGAAACCACTACATTAAAAGGCTAAGGGACCTGAACCTGTTCACCCTCCACAAGAGAAGGCTGAGGGGGGATCTAGTGGCCTGTTACAAACTAGTCAGGGGGGGATCAGCAGGCATTGGGGAAGTCCCTGTTCCCCCAAGCACTCCCAGGAGTGACAAGAAATAACGGTCACAAGCTGGCAAAGGGTAGATTTAGGCTAGACATCAGGAGGTGCTACTTCAATGTCAGGGCGGCTAGGATCTAGAACCAACTTCCAAGAGAAGTGGTGCTGGCTCCTACCCTGGGGGTCTTTAAAAGGAAGTTAAACGAACACCTTGCCGGGGTTGTTTGACACCCAGTACTCTTCCTGCCATGGCAGGGGGTCGGACTTGATGATCTGCTCAGGTCCCTTCTGACCCGACCAACTATGAAACTACGAAAAGGGTGCTAAGTTTGCCATGCCAGGTATTCATAAGTTAGGAAAAGCCAGAAAGTAAATATCTTGGTGTTGTTTAATTATATTATTTGTCATTATTTGTCCTAAATAGCCTCTCTCTTGTTCAGTGCAGGGGATGGGCAGTCAGTGATACAAGAACAAGAAGAACCGAGTTATTCTCTTGTATTTCAGAAGCTGGGACAGAGGAGGGCTGAGCTGTAGACATGACACTCTCATAAACAACCTCTTTGCTGTTGAGCAAGGCTAGGATATGGTACATTTTGTGTACATGTTGCCTGGGCCACTTATTTTACATGTTTGAAATACTCAATTTAATGAATATGAAATAACAGGAAACACAGATAATGTTATGATGGAAAGGAATGAAGTCTTGCTCTATTCATAATGCATGATTGTAAATGAGAAACAAAGATACAAGACTAACGTGGCATTGTTGATCTATAGACTCT